GTCGCGGAGAACCTAACGGGTAACCGGGGCTCCGGCTCGACGTGCAGGAGAAGGAACGGGGTGGTTTTTAGTCAGTAAGAGTCTGACACTCCCTTCCGCCTCACCCAGGCGGGAGCAGTCATTCGATGATTTTCCCCCCTTAAAAAAAAAGACTGATTTGGCTGATTTTTTTTGTTGTATTTGTTATTGTCAGGAAAAGAGTTCTTATGACAGAAAAAATCCTGAAAATCCTACGAGAGCGGGAGAAAACGGGATTGCGCGTACCAACCAATATTCAACCCAGTAATACTTTGTCCGACCCGGGAAATAAACCCGAGACCCCTTGCCCGGCAGTCGCACTTGCGACCACTCGGCCAATAAGGCAGTAATAAGGCGATTAGGCGATCATAAGAACAATATTCTGTAATTATCCATTGTCATGATACCATTACAAAGTACATATTAACCAATAAGAATATCAACATCCATAATTAAACAGAAATAAAGAGTACAAATCATCTTCCTTTCATCACACACTTCGCACTATGTACTGTTATGAAACTTATGATAACGTTGGCGAGGCGCGCGCGCAGCATACGGACTATTGTTAGCCGAGGACGTGCAACTGGGCCGTGCGCCGGCGCAGGTGAGAAGGCACGAAGCTTTCGTACTGGATTGTATACGATGACCTTGAGATATTTAGGAATGTATGAAAGAAGTTTGAAAGAAATGGTGTTTGGAGTTTTTTCTGTGGTAATTTAAATCTTAGGACTGATGTGTTATGTTTTCTTTGATAAGTGAATATCTTAAAGATGTGTTTCATGATTGTAGTAATGATTTTAGTTTAAGAGTGTTTACACATTAATTGTTGTGTATTTGTGTAGATGTTTTAAAATATTCGAAACTTGAGTAACTAATATTGATAATGCCGAAATATATATTATTATGTTGAATATAAATAAATAAATTATTTTCTAAAATTAATAATAACTATTACTAAATTAAATATATATAATACAAGATAAAAATTAATATATACAACTTAAAATGTTACTTAGAGTGTTTTAGTTTCTTATCAAACCTTAATTTTCTAGCTTTAAGTCATAAGTCATAAGTAATAATAGTTATATTAAATTTATTTTCGCTAATTTATCAATTTTAAATGCGTAAAAATTAATGAATATTAACCATTATTTTTACGAAATGAATTGTGAATAATACAGCTACTAGTATTGCGTTGTTTCTGTATATATAAAGAACTATGTAGGTACAATAATAACTGGCCCTGGAACTACCTACATAAAACAACAACAACAGCAATATATTTTACTACTACAACACGCGCCACCATCTTTAACGCCCACTGTCTGTCACACTGCATTAAAAATAATAATGTAATGAGATAATAAAAAAAATCTACATATTTCAAATTATAAATGAATTTCGTGGTGCTAACTTACCAAATTAAAGAATAGTTTATAGGTATAATTATTTTTAAAAAATCTCAGTAGTAACACGGAGTCTGTAATTGTGCCCAGTATATGGCAATAGGCTTACACAGTATTACATAGGACTAACAATTTAAATAGTGGAAAGTGAGTGTTACATTGTACAGTGGCATTAAGTGCCGTAATGTGCACCTCTACATATCCCATCGGGGATAACAGGCGTTATGTTATGTAAAATTATTTTATTAAAAAAGAAAGCTACCAGCTTACTTCTTACAATTAGAAGGTACTCTGAAAAAATACAATAAAAGAGCCTGCTATGTTCTTTCTTTACATAACGGGGATTAACCAAAATATCCATGCTTGACAGACGGGTTAAAAATCGCAGTTTAAAATTAAAAGGTTCAGGTTTATCAAACAATGTCACCGCCTCGCTATTGTCTATGTATGTTAAATCTGTAATCCCTTATTCGTCTCTTAAACCATGGTAGAATATGTTAATCATTATATTTTCGGCTTACTCACGTAACTTCTAGTATGGCTTGAAACTAGTCGAGTTCCTCATCAAACAGTTACGTAAATAAGGCTAAATTATAGCAATTCGTTCAGTATGTCTCACGAAACTTAAACATTAATAATAACTTAAACTGTCAAACACCGCTAGGACACCGGTGACCGCAACCTATTGTTCTTTAATTGTGTCTATAATGACGGTACTCAACGAGTTAAATAAGAACAATGTAACACTCACTCTTCACTATTTATGTTATAAGTCCCATGTAATAGGGGGTGAGCTTATTCACCCTATTGCCATATACCAGGCACAATTCCAGACTTCGTGCTATTACCGGGAAATTTTCGATTTCGGAAATCGAACCCGGGCCCCTTGCCCAGCAGTCGCGCTTGTGACCACTCGGCCAACGAGGCAGTCTAAGGCTAATTATGATAATGAGATTGAAATAATAAACATGTAAAAAAGGGATGCTGACAAAATTATTCTTCTCTGCTATCACTACATTGCTTATGGCAGGTATAGGTATATTATTTAATAGTAAGAGAAAAACTATTCAACAAATACAAAGTATAAAGAACTATGAAGATTATACACGAAGGAATGGGAAGGCGCAGTTCGGTCCTATATATAACTTTGGCTCTAAGCCATGCACTATAATTATATGGAGAGTGCCAAAATTCTATGTGCAATACATACCATGTCTGGCATCATTAGTTTATGGGCATCAGCGCCCTCTGTGACTAATTACAACATCATTAGGACGTTTATTATCTGTGACTATGATGAGGAATATTTGGCTCTATGGATGACCGTTATTTTTAAAATGAAAGTAGACTGTTTACTGTTATATATAAATAAAGAAAATGTAATGTATTTGCAAATGTTTGAATAGTTTTATTAGTGTAACTGACGAAATTAAACTTTTTATAACTGTTTTTCGATAAACTTATTCTGTAAAATGAAACCACGGTATTGGCGAACCGATACGACGGTTTAAATGACCGTATTCCGTTTTAAAAGCCGTTCACACATTTGTAACTCCTATGGTACCTGTCAGTGTGCGCTCAGGTACTTAGTGTACATGTCATACAACGAGTACTGGTCATCACCTAAAAGACTCTTTTAGGTGATGACCAGTATATTAGGCAGATGTTGAATAGATATATACCTGCTGACCCGTAATTGAGAAAGACGTTATGATGATACGACCTAATTATTGCGATAATACAAATAATGCACAAGAACCTATAAAGAAGTTTATTTACTTGTAACCAACAAGACCTAACAATTATTTTATAACAAAAGCAATTCATAAAATTAACATACTCCATAGAAATAAATACCAGGCGAACGTACTGAGTATTGAAGATGCAAAAGATTCTAAAATGCATCAAACTTCTGCTCTAGTTTCCATAAATAGACTTTCACCTAGCTCCCGACCTTGGCCGACCTGAGCATATGGTGTAGATCATGAGGCAAGAGGCGAGCTTTCCGAAAAACATGTGTTTACACATTTTACGAGCCGTGATCTCATTTCACAGGAACGAGGCCGTTGTATGGACTGCTGACTGCATCACAAATCGAATAAAATGGCTGAAAACGGGTAAGACATTTTCCACTTCTTTAAAACGTTTCCACGTAAAATATTTTTAACATCTGTACACTTTGAATGCGGTTTTCCAGCTACGATTTACATAAACATTGAAAAATATTAAACTCGAATAACAGTTGTGTATTATTGTTTCGAATTCCAAAATGGATGTCGACGTTTACGAGTTCGGACATCATGCAAAACCACGAAACATAAATCTTGTGCTCAGATATTAGGAATGGGAACACAGATACAAGATTAATAAAAGTATTCTATTTTAATAATCGTACAAGAGTTTCCGGATAACTGGGTTAAAAGTGGAATAGGTTAAAGCAGTCGCCCCCGACGGCCAGTAAGCAAGTGTCCACGATGTCAGACCAAGTAAAAATAACGCAAACTTTTGGCTGTATTCCAGGTACGGTCCAGGCGGACACATCGGCAGAATCCCCAACTTCGGAAAAACGCATGTCAACGTAAGTTTCATATTTTGATATTTTATGACGAGTTTGTGCGATATTGAGCAGATATCCCAGCATTGCGGCAACTTTATGGTTATATAATAAAGTTTAAAATTGTGGATTTAAATTCAACGCTTGCTCTCTTGTCCTATTTATAATCTTTGTAGCCGCAACAATAATGTCTAATTATTTCTATGAGCGTTCCAGTACGTTTTTAGCTCTTGCTCTGGAATTTGCATTAGATGGTTAGCTAAAATTGTCCTCCTCTATTTAATCGAATGATAAAAATGTAATATGACCGTTAAGTAACGCTTAGTATTATGCAACTTCCAGCCTATGGGTGCCGTCGAGCCGCCAGCATGCATTCAGAATGCGATGATGACAAAGGACAAGAAACCCTTCACATACACACCAGGCGGCCTTGACCTGTCTCAAATTCGCACACCAAGCATGGCGAGAAGACTGGCAAGACAGCGGTCTTTAGAAGACCAACAAGAACAGCAGTATGCTCAGCAGCAGCACCATCAGCAGCAGCCCACAAATGGCGGCTACCACCCACAAGGAGGACCGGCTCCTCCACCACCCCCTCCACCTAAAATGCCTGTCCCACCCCCACCACCACCGATTGTTATCCAAGCTCCGAACTCAAAATCTCCAAAACCCGTTGCACTCGGTGAACGCCCCGAAATTGTAATTCCAGAAAATCCGATAGGAATGTTACGAAAAACGAATAGCCCTTACCACTGGGAGGCTGAAAAGGCTGAACTACAAAAGTTGGGTAACACTCCCAAGTATGTAGAAAAAGTCCCAAGCCCTCTGACGGTAAAAATGCCTCCTTCCACATTTAGTCAGCAGCAGCCACAGACTTACACTCCACCTTCACAAAATAACTTCCAACGTGGTCCTTATGGTAATCAGCGTAACCCTGAGAGCCCCATCTATAAACCTGAAGCACAATATGCTCACCAGCATTCTTCCTCTCCCCAAGGTTCACCACCGACGAGAGAAGTGTTACAAAGACAAGATTCTCAGTTTAATAAGAGTCCTCAGCCATATGCTGGTGTACCTTCCTCAAATAGTTCTCCATATTCGCCTAGCCCTAACAACAACTGGCGGCAACCAGAGAAAAGGGATTCTCCAGCAAACACAAGTAGTCCACAGTCCGCACATTCAAACCGTAGTCCATTTACACCCAACACACAACAGTACTCGCCAAACAATCAACAGTATTCTCCTAATTTCCAAAACCAAACTCCACCTTCTAACTCAGGTCCCGTGTTCCATACCTTACCTAGAGTTGGACAGAGAAACGTTGACGCACCGAGTAACAACAACAATGTGATGTACAACAACACGAAACCAAGTCAGCAAAACGAGTCTAATGCTGCTCCTTGGAGGACTGCTACTCTAAACAGACATCCAAGGGAACAAGAGAATCAACCACCAGTCTATAATAACGTGAACTCGAATCAAGAACAATACGTTCCCCCGTGGAAAGTAAATCAGAACAATAACACAAATGCTAACAATGAGAACTCTTACGTTCCGCCATGGAAACAAGAAAGTAAACCACAGCAGCAGTACACTCCTCCATGGGTCAATAATAACAATTCTCAGGATTCTAATAACAATCGAGTTCAGGAAAATAACTCTGCACCTTGGAGAAGTCATGAAGCATCTTCACCACCCAAGCAACAGGAACAACCTCGTTACCAATCAACTATGTCTATCCCTGTGACGCCTAGAAAACAAAATCAACAGCATGAATATAATAATGCTCCACAAAAGGAGGTTGTGTATGTAAATGAGGAACCTGTCTACTTCTGTCCTGAAAGTCCGAAGTCTATTCCTCCATGGGTAAAAACACAGAAGGAGAAGACAAAGACTCCTCCGCCAACTTGGGTGCAAAGACCGCTGGAAGGTAGGAAGAGTCTCTCTAGGGAATTAAACACACCTCCACGGGAAACGAACCAAGAACCAGAATGGGTTAGAAAGAGCAATGAAATGCAAAGAGGTGCCCGTGAGGTGGTCAGCCCTCCTAAATACCAGCAACCAGTACAACCATCGTGGTCAACGCGACCTTCTGAAAACCGTAAGAGCTTGCCAAGGGACAATGGACCTGGTTCCCCAGGAACACGAGTTATTCCTATCCAGATGGAGGTATCAACGACAGAGACAAGGGATTCGAGGCACGGTGGTCATCCTCAACCTGGCCTGAGAATTACGATTGGTATGAATCAGAATCCAGATCAAGCTCGTGCACCATTCTCCCCGCCTACTCAGCGCATCATGAGGGTTTTGTCACCTCAACTGGTGAGATTAGAAGACTCAAACCAACAGCCAGACCTGCCGACCTTGAACCGAACTTTCCAAGACAGTCAGCCAAAGACTAGGATAATACCGATTCAGATTGAAGGTGGCAACGGAGGGGCGAACAAGAGGTAAATATATGCATTTTTATTTAAAACTATTAAATGGCAAAACTTAGTTTACAGTGCGCATAAAGTTGTTAAATGTTACATCTCTGATTGTAATCGATTGATTACGAATTTAAACCTTTAGTTTATTGAAATGTCGTAATTTTTCTAAAAGAAGACACATAATCTACTTACTACTCATACAATCAATATGAAAAAATACACGATTTATCACAGCCATTTGCGAATAGTGCACAAGTGAAATACCGTCAAATAACTATCACATTACAATTGTCTATCCTCGTTTCAGCTTCGGTGGGCGGTATTAAGGGAGCTACTGGTCCAATGTAAACAGTTTTACTGCACAGCTTCGTAGTGACTCAGTGTTTCGCTTGCTTTATATTTAGCAACTCTTCCAACACGTTCTAATTTTATTTTCCACTAATCGAATCATTCCCTAACGCTGTTGCCGTAATTAATTGGTTACCGCAGGGTCATCACGATTTCTAATATTCCATCGACAGGTCACGGCTATTCTCTAAAATTGTTGGTTACACCTGTTGCTTTATTGGTGTAAATGCGCTTTTAACTCGATTGGATTTTGTTTGATACTACGTTGATTTGTATTTTGTATTTTCTTGAACAAATAACCGCAAACAAATATCATCATTCGTAACAAAAAAACGTAATATGATTTTGAAACGCAAACGAATCATTGCTAAACAAATATCGTATTCTAAAATAATATTTCTTGATTATAAAAACTGAATTTTCTGTACAAACATCATACTTAATACTCACATCATGCTACAACTAAAATAAGAAATAAAAAATATTAATACAATAATATTTATATTATATACATATATATTTACAGTGTCTACTACCATAAGTTCACACAAGAAGGGCCCCCAAGACAGTCAAAGGCATTCAGGGTATTGCAGATCATCACAGGTACCGAGGACTTGGATGACATTCAAGAAATCGAAAAGCATCATGGATTTACCGATTTATAATAAAATAATGTAAATATATATAAAATATACGAGTATATATTATTATTAAGTACACATTTTAATATTAGTAATATGGCAATCTCACGAGTATACATTTAATTTAAATTAACACGAAAGTATTTGAATAATTCGTAAATTTTCAATTTAATGTAAAAAATAATTATTTCAAAATCTTCATGAAAAAGAATTGGTAGGTTTCGATCATATTTTTTGTTTTAATTTAATTTATTTGGGGACTAAGTTCCTATACGTAATTTAAGCTTCGTAGTAAAACATGTTCTATTATTAGCTTAAATTGATATTATTTTTTATTATTACTTATATTACAAGTTTTAAGATATGAAAATAACGACGTAAATTATATTTTCTTAAATATTATTTATAATTGTTAATAATACCTGATATACAATATTTACGTATTATTAATTGGATTAACTGTATTATAATTTAATATTTATACATTACACGATTAATTTACGCTATGTATATAAATCGAATATTAATAGCGATCCGAAATAATTGTATAAATATTTCGGAATTATACTAATGCTCATGAACACAGCTAGCTTACCAAAGAATTATTAGATGTAATTAATAAATTATTTATAAGTATAACTTAATAATATTATTAAAAATATTTAAATATATAATAGATATAGATCGTAGATAGGTTAGATAAAATTAATTAAAAGTTACCAAATTTATTCAGCACTTGCATTATATCTATATTTATTTATTTCCTGTCACTAACTTTATTATATTTATTTATCAAATATATTTCATTTATATTCCTCATAAATAATTCGTTGCTCCAGATTAACAATTAACATTGTGTATATATTGATATTACTTTATATATATTTTGTTTTGGCCCGGATTAATGGATTTATTGACATACTAACAAATTGAATGTGAACAATTCGTAATTGCATAGCGATGGTGGCATTTCCGTGATTCCCGATAAAAAAATGTTTTATGTATTGTGATTAACTAAAACTTTATTGTTTACCATTATAGTGATGTTACTGGTTATAAAACTTATATATTATACATATATATATATTCATGTAATATTTGTATTCATGATATTTTTATGTCGCTAAACTTTATGGAATATATATATTATGATTTATATTTTGTAGTAATTATAACTTATCTTAATATTATTAGGTATTATTGCATAATACTTTGTATATTTATTAAGTGTACACATTATGATATTTATCTAATTTATAGCATTATATTTGTATATATATTTTGTTATATAATTTATATATATTATTATATTTTATATATATACAAAACGACCAGTTCTCATCACTATAATGACAAAACTAATTGAAAACAGACGAGGGGTGTGGCAATCTAGTCAGTGTGATCTTTCTTAAGCATATAACGTATATAATTATACGGCTAGGTATTACAAAAATATTTTATATTAAAATTATTATAGATTTTATATTTTGCTTAATCCTATAACTTATTATATATAGTATGTAAGTATAATTTAATTTTATAATAAAAGTTTGAAAATTGTATTTGTCTTTAATTTCTAATACAGTAATAAGATTCAGATATAAAGACAGTAGACTTACTTGGTGTTTTTTGAGATTTGATACGGTATCAAATTTAATTTTTCGACAGCATCTAAGTGAATTAGAAATTGGAAGATACCATTAATATTTTGTCTGCCCCGAGAATTAATTCTGAGATTCTACGCTTGTATATATTCTGACTTCCAAGTACTTAACTTGCAATGTGGAGCAATGAGGGAGACGTGTTACTGTTAGGAATATCTTTAATTGAGTGTCTTAAGAACTAACTTACACTACTTACTTATAGGGCGAGGTGTCACACACACTACACCTCCCCCGTTTTTTTGGAAAAAAAATATTTATTTATATAATTTTTTTTTTCATTAAAACAAACATGTATAATTATTTATTAAAATATTCGCACTGTTGACAATATTTAAACATTTTACGATTCAAGTTATAGGTATATTTTGAAAATATTTTGGTAAATTATTCTTACAACTAAAATATGTAGGTAATCATAATACTTACAACTGTTATCTCTTTTACAACTTATTATAATCTCTTACTCACTGTTCTATATCTAGGTACACATAATACATTCCATTTTGCATAAATATTTCTTTATTATAATCGTAAGGTACATACACATGTAAGCACATTATATTTGTACAGGACTCTCCGGTACCTGTTCATTAACTATATTTATTTCATTATATTTATTATTTATCATTCTTCATTTCTTTATCATCTCATTATTATTTATCATTGTGCTTACTTTATTTATTTATTCATTACATAATTTAGTGTCAATATTTAAGATTCTTATGATCTCCAATAATTTTCACAGAGAGAGCTCGTCTACACCATGATCAAACTAAGGACATGAACACTAAACTGTACCTTACCATGTGTACCTATTATATTTATTATTAACTTATCCTTCAACTATCAAACCTAACATAAACACAATCTAATTGAATTGCTTGGTCTACAAAATATTACGTTGTCTTTAGGTGATCAGCCCTCAGTCATACGCCAAAACTTGTGTACCAAGTTATTCCAAACTACCTAAAAACCAAACTTACATACTTATACAAACAATGAACACATTCCAAAGCCTAGCTAATATCAAATTTCATTCATCTAATTTATTTATTTCATAAGACAAAACCAAAGTGCAGTTGTTATTGTTAATCGGTGTCAAGTAACACGATTCTTTTAATACAATCTGACACTCGGTATGACATCATTTATCTATATGGGCATGGAAACATTCCTTTAATCTGATTAATGTAAGCGAACTATGAAATTAAAAAAAAAAATTCTAAATTACAACAAAAAATTGGTTATATTAAGCACAAAATGATTCAATACAAAAACTAATAATATTGTCAACAGGCGTGAACTATATCTAGTGTACACTTATATTATAAATAAAATGTTTAAAAATTATGTGAAATAGCTAAAATACCTAATAAACTTTGGACCCTTATTAAAATTATGTGTAACTTACTACTAGTTCTATATATTGGTGTCCATTTTCACTTTTAACTACACTAATACACTTAACATTCAAACACAAAGTACTTTCGAGTCCGGTTACATCACGTACCCAGGGTAGCGGAGATTCTCTCAGACGCTACCTGGTCGCCAACATCTCCCGGCTCCATCCTCCAGGACACCAACCGCTCCCGGCAGGTCCACATCTGGCTGCATCGACACCCGGCAGCCAGCAACATTTCTCCACTTCACGAACACTGATACGCACTTTTAGTCCAATTAATTTTCATAAATTTTTATTTGACAAAATCCATAACTCCGCACTCGTGCTCAGCACTGCCCGCGTGGCAGCACTGGCAGGGTCGCCATGCAATGTGGAGCAATGAGGGAGACGTGTTACTGTTAGGAATATCTTTAATGAAGTGTCTTAAGAACTAACTTACACTACTTACTTATAGGGCGAGGTGTCACACACACTACAAACTAACGAGGTTGGCATACGACATATAATTTGTAAAAATAGAGTTGAGCGAAATATCTTTTTAAATACAACCTTGATAATTAGGAACTAGTCACAGTGGTTCCATCTGTAATTTGCATCACTAACTTCGTATAGAACATTGATTTGCTAGTTTCAAATAAGTACTGTGTCGTGAATACCTTAACTGCAAACAGTGCTGCCATCTGTTATCAGTCAATGGAAACTATTCGCAATAATAATATGTAGAAGTATGAAATAGACACTTTGAAAATTATTTAATTCGTCGAGTACCGTCATTATAGACACAATTATAGAACAATAGGTTGCGGTCACCGGTGACCGCTTGGTGTTTGACAGTTTAACTATATCACAGGTCGATATTAAGCAATTAAAATTTGTGATAACGACAAAGAGTGAAATTGTATGCTGCTGTCTATGTATGTACTTTGGATATTCCTAAAGGGCAATAATAAAAGGCCGACTATCGGAATCCGAAGTCAACTCGCAGAAGTCAAGTTTCCTTGAGTGAACCGCTAAGGAATGGAATTCCTTGCCGGAATCAGTGTTTTCCTACAAATACAACTTGGGTGTTTCAAAGTCCCGAGGAAACAGGTTGATTATAGGTAGGCGTGCTCCATCATCGGCTGCACCATCGCTTACCATCAGGCGAGGTGGTGGTCAAACGTCAACCTATCAAGTATAAATATCAATAAGTCATTTAGGTTCAGTGTACTGATATCGATACCTTCTTTCTCAACCAACTATCGGAGTAATTCGTATATTGTGCGAGGGAGCAATGATTTTAATAAACCCTGTAAAGATTTTTTTCGACCCATTTAACACAAAACTCACTGTGGCATGCAGACAGCTGAACCTTGATTTCTTTAATTCATAATGGGTACCTATACGATCCTTAAACTGTCAAACACCAAGCGGTCACCGGTGACCGCAACCTATTGTTCTATAATTGTGTCTATAATGACGGTACTCGACGAGTTAATATTTGGAATAATTTGTGCACCATTATAAATTGCCTGTGGTTTAATGAGTTTAATAAGTAATTTTAGTATTGTGTTGGCATATTTCTACTCTCTGTTACTAATCGTGGAAACCAGTGAGTTGCGCGACATCGCCGCGACCGCACACGCTGCTCATGAGGAAGAACCCCTCTGTGGTTCGAAACTAGTAGAGATTTTCTCAGTATATTCACGTGAGTAACCCGCGATTTTAGTTAATTCAGTAATTGGTTTTTTGTTGCATACCATATCCTATTTAATCTAATTGTATAGCTGTTGGTTTTCCAAATGTATAAAAAAAAATAAATAAAAAAGAGGCCAGTATATTAATTAATGTTTCTACAAGAAGTCGACATTAGGTATACATGACTTTGATTGTATATAGAATGTGCATTCTGCTAATATGATTACTTAATCCGATTAATTAGCACCTGTTAAGTGTCTAATGAGTAATCATCAGTGAGGTGTTACTAATTAATCTTCGAGCTATTTATAACACGTCTGCCCTTTATAT